ACTCTTGCTTGGCCGTCCACGGTGAAGTCGGAGTCACTTGCTCGGCGAAAAGTGACGACGATGCCAATTTGACAACATCCTCAACAGAGTTCCTCTCTTTGGTGGTGTGCATGTTGGTCTTTGTGGGTAGCCAAGTTGGACGGTGTGTTGTGTGTTGTGGGCATGATAGTGTGTTCTTGTTGGCTGGCCCCGGTACTGGGCACGGTGGCCCTCTCGGTTGATGGATCATTTCAAGAGTCAGATGGCTCGGAGGCCGCCATTGGGACGGTTCTAAGGAACAATGAGGGATCTATTATATTTGCGGCATACAAGTTCATTTTCCACTGCAATGATCTGCTGGAAGTTGAGCTGCATGCGATCATGCAGGATATGGCGCTGGCGATGCAACACTCTTACCTTCTGGTGGTATTGCAGTCCGATTCTTCAGAGGCCTTGTCAAGTTTGTCAAATACTGCCATAGTTCGTTCGGCGTATGGCCAGATAGTCCTTCAGATTAAGGATCTCCTTGGTAGTAGGGAGATTTTTCCTCAGAAAATTAGTCGTACTCAAAATAGAGTTGTTGATCGGTTGGCCAATTATAGCCGATCTAAGCGAGCCACCGCTGTGTGGCTACGCTCGGTACCACCTTGTATCAAGGGTCGGTTGCCTCTTAACTGCAACTCTATGAACTTGCAATAAAATTCCTTTTACCCCCGCGAAAAAATAAGAGTATTCTTGTAAGGATTTGTACCATTGAATATATAGCATTTGGTCTCTTAAAAATAAGTTTCCTGTTGGCGCCATCCGTTAGAAAGAGATGGACAAACATATGAATTATTATTGCACGTGGTAACACTACGTTCACTCCAAACTACAAATCACACTATTATATTAAAATGTACGCGCGTGGTAAAGGAAATGGAAACGCAACACATGACAACAAACTAGCTGCTTGCCCGTCCCATCCACGCACCAATAATGGTATTACAATATATGTCGCCGTATATTCACAGCCACAAGCTCCTCACGCTATATCAACTTTTTCTTTTCAGAAGAAAAACACGCTATCTGGAGCAACTAGAGGCGGTTTATTTAATGCGTCGTCCGTCGTGCCAATTCAGATAGCTGTGATTGGTTGACTAGAACGATTCATCTCCTATCCCGGATGTCCAAATGGAGAAGGCAGAGTGTTTTGAACGCCAACAACGCATAGAAACAAGATGACTTTAACGTGCTTGACTGGAGAAATCGGGAATGGAAATGGCCGCCTTGTGGCTCCCGTTTCCCAACGTCAGAATGTTCGTGAACGAAGGCACGAGGGCCACGAGGACACCAGGCCCTATTTTTTTAATCGATTTGGCGGTCCCTCGCCGACAGAATGTTCACTGAAATTCAATAGCTACAACATACTTCCTTCTTTCCGGTTTATAGAGCTTATCTTAAAATTTTAGTTTTTCCATTTTATAAGGCTCAACTTGGTTGTTCCCCATCACATGTTCAGATTTCAAGGTGCATTAAATCATTGCATGCAAGTATTAAGAGAAAATTGACCAATGCATGTACTTTATGCATGCATGCATTGCAATTAATGCATTGATAAACATAATTTTTTGAGAAAAACAAAAGCATTAATTAGGTGCTTTTACAAACTACAAAAAATATTCCACCACTCACCATCTACCTTGGTTGGTGAGATTTTTGAATTAAGCCCTATAAACCGGAAAGGAGGGAGTAAGCAGTTGCAGATTCTTCCGGTACGTAGGAGTAGGCAGATCGAGTCTTATGGCCTATTTGATTCGCGGGATTTTGAAAACGTAGAAATAAAAAAAGTATAGGGTTGGAATGGCATGTTCACTTGAATTCTATAGGATTAGCAAGGAGTGTTTGACGGTACAGAAAAAAAAGCAAAAAAACTATGAAAAGAGGTTGGAGTGGATGTTAGATTTCCTATGAAATGTCGTACAAAAAATTTCATAGAAAAAATTCCTACAGGATTCAATCCTATGAATCAAAGGACCAACGCAGAAAAAACTCCTAAGGATTTCAGTCCCCCATATATCCTATAGAATTCCTTTGAATCAAAGGAGACCTTATTTGTTTCATCTTTGATTGGATTTGAATTATCAATGGACTCGCTTATGGTACACTTGGGTGTGTTAGGTTGCTCGCATGATTTTGCCTGCATTGCATCTGTGTCTTACTTGAGCATGGCTGGAAAAAAGAGCAAAAAACCAACATCTCCATGTTGCTTGGTTGCGCGCATCTAGGCTTCTTGCATTAGGGGCAATTTTGGCATGACGTTTGGTGTCCTGCATTAACTGGGCTGATGCAACTACACGATGTTTGGTTACATACATGCAGCGTGATTAAAAGTTAACAGCTACACATAACCCACAAAGTTACACAGTGCCATGGCAACTGTGATGGACGGTGGCCACGGCGCCATGTCTGACACGATGAGCACAGAGTTATGGGCGAGTGATCCCGTCGGCGGCGCGGCGAACTAGTTGCTAGCGTCGTCGGCGCAGAGAAAGTATGCGCGGAGGGACGAATAGGAGGGCGCTGAGGCAAAGAACAAAGAGGAGAAATGCAGTGCGTGCGCCATAGCAGAGTCAGTGTAGTAGGACGAGGGAGAGGAGGTCGAAAGGAACGACGCTGGAGACGACTCCAGTGTAGTAGGATGCCGGCAAGGAGGTCGAGAGGAACGTCGTAGACAATGATGCCAATGTAGTACGACGCGGGCAAGGAGGCCGAGAGGAACGATGCCGGCGACGACGCCAGTAAAGTAGGGCGGGGGCGAAGAAGCAGAGGGGAACGACGTCGGTGGTGGTGACAATGCAACAAGGTGCGGGAGAAGAGGCTGAGAGGAACAACGCCAGCGGTGATGCCAGTGTAGTAGGAATGTAGGATGCGTGAGAGAAGTTCGAGAGGAACGATTAGAAGGGATGAGAGAGATTAAGAACTGTCATTAAACATACCACACATATGCATATGTACCGTCCATGAGGAAGATGTAAATCTACTCGTCTACGATCGGCGAAAGACAAAATATGCAACACAAAAGTCGTGTGAAATTGCAAGATGAAGATATTGGTCAAAAAAATTCAAACAGTTAACGGCGCGCGGCAAATTTGACAAAATTCATACTCCCTCCGTCCGGAAATACTTGTCGGAGAAATAGATGTATCTAGACATATGTTAGTTAGTTCTAGATACATCCTTTTTTTTGAAAGTGGCCATTTCTGGTTTTCATTTCATAGCAGGAGAGAGCGGGAAAAGTACATAGTCTGATCAAGTGATCGGTGGGGTGGAGAAGAAATTACATAGCCAGCCTAGCAAGAGTGTAAGCTGGCGAGAGGGGCCTGATTATGTTATTTTCACGGCACGTCCCCGAAGGGGTGCGCTATGCATTTGGCTCCGGCGATCCTCCACTGCTCCATGTCGCGGCGGCAGGCCGCTATGATGCTGCGGGCGCATGGTGATTTCCCTCTAAAGGTGCACGCATTCCGCTCTAACTAGATTTGCCAGACCATCAAAGTGAGCAGGGATCTGGTGCCCTTCCTCATGCCTGGGTTGGCTCCATCGATGATCAAACGAACCCTCTCGGTAGTGGACCTTCCCGTGCTCCAGATGGAATGGCTGAAAGAGTGGCAGCCTAGCCAGGTTGCCACCTCATTCTAGCACTGAATGGCAATGGTGCACTCCCAGAACAGGTGCGACGAGGACTCAAGATTGCGCAGGCATAGCTGGCAGAAGTAGCTGTTAATCCATCCGCGTCTCTGTAGTCTATCGTTGCACCATAATCGATCTAAGTGCAGCAGCCAGAGAAGGACTTTCGTCTTGTCAGGAGCCCAGGCCTTCCAGATGGTTGCTGTGAAGTCAAGTGCCGGGCGCTCTTCAAACTGAACGTCGTAGGCGGAGCGCGTGGAGTAGTTGCCGGAGTTGCCTCAGGTCCAGGTGATGGTGTCAGCCCTGCCAGCTTGAAGCGTGATGCCAGCGCTTCGGATCTCCCTGGCGAGCTGCAACACCGTGTGCATGATGTTGTCATGATCACCATGGCGGAGGTCGAGTACCCATCGGTCTTGATGCAAGGCTTCTTGAACGGATCTGTTCTTGCGGGCGGAGTGAGCAAACACTGCGGGGGATGCCTGACATAGTTGTCTGCCGTTGAGCCAGGGAGAGTGCCAGAAGGAAGTCGTTGAGCCGTCCCCGACGGTGACGGCCGTGCAGGCAGCGAACAGGGCGCGATCGGCGTCGTCGCATGGAGAGCCGGTGCCAACCCAGGGGCAGGAGGGTTGCGTCCATGCAAGCCATAGCAATCGCAGGCGGAGGGCCCGGGCGAACTTCGCCAGATACATCCATTTTTATCGATTTATTCGACAAGTAATTCCGAACGGAGAGAGTACAAAATAGCTTCAAATATAAACATTTATGGCAGACGAAACTACGAACTGATCAACATCGATGTGCATCTTCTTTCTGTAGACCTTATCTTTTAAATCCAAGCATTATTTTGTGGATTAGAAGATGAAAGAAATTAAGAAGAGATTACCGTAGAAAACGTGCAAACTCACGTACGAGGTGTACCCAGAATGAAGGAGCCCACGTAACCGCACCGGGGGAGAGTCACCCACGTGCGCTCGATAGCATCGAGCCCAGGCCTAGCTTGTGAAAAACTGCCAAATCGAGCATTCTCTGGGAACCAGACCCAGAGATGTTCTAAACTTCATGCAATGCAGACCCGACGATGAATGCAGGCAATCCAACAGGCTAAATTCCTTCCGCGCAACTTGTGTACGCAGACACCCAAAGATGTCTCGGACAATTGCATTCAAAATAGCCTGAATGTTAATAGATTGTTTCAGCTTTCAGATTCGGCTTCACCGGCCAAGCTGAATCTGGCCTCGAAGCTCAAACAAACAGACCCGAGCGCGGAAGAAACACTTCGACGTCCCTGCGGCGCAGAGAGAGAGAGAGAGAGAGAGTGACGAACTGTGCGGGTTGCAAAAAGGGCCGCCGTACTATGAACACTGCAGTCCTGCAGAGCAGAGCGCAAGAAGCATACTCAACGAGAGTACATGATATGGCAAGCGGATGAATTGTTAAAAATAAATTACCCAAACACAAACACAAGATGATAACAGCATATATTTATTTCTACTGCGCACCGGCGACGGCGGCCGGGGCGGCCTCGCCGCGGGCCTCGTCGTCGTCGACCCACGACCAGTAGTGCCGCTTCACGGTGATGGCCGCGCCGCCGCCGTCGTGGCCCTCGCCCTCGCCGCCCTCCTCCGTGTCGAACTCGCCCTCCTCCGGGACGCCCTCCACGAGCTCCGCGTCCACCGCGTGCAGCACGTACCTGGCGGGGAGTCCTGGGTACGAGACGGACTCCCGCTCCTCCACGCGCGGCTCCGGGACCGCCCCCACGATCCGGACGCGGGCGCGCTCGCCGAGCTCCTCGACGACGGCGCGGGCCGCGGCGGCCTCGGGGGTCTCCCCGGGGCGCATCTTCTCGGAGAGCGGCCGCGCGGCCCGGCGGCGGAGCGTGCCGTCGGAGAGCAGCTGGCGGGTCTCCACGAGGAGCGCGCCCCGGCGATTGCGGATGCGCACGGTGGCGACGTGGACGGCGCGCACGACGAGGGCCGGTGGGGAGGAGGCCGCGGGCAGGAGCGTGCAGTCGCCGCAGGAGAGCTCCAGGAAGAGGTTGAGCAGGTTCTTGGTCCCCGGCGCGGATCCCCAGGAGGCGAGCGCCGGGCCCGGGAGGCGCGGCCGGAGGTACGCCGCGAGCGAGTCTAGCGTCGGGAAGGCCAGCGGCCGCGGCGGCGACGGCGGCCGCATCTGGTGCCCGTCGTCGATTTGGGGGCGGACGAGTTTCCTTCTCCTCCAGATGAGAATTCCTCCGGTGGGTTGCGTTGCCGGAACGGAAGCATGGCGCTCGGGCTTAGGAAATGCTAGGCGTGGGCTCGGTTACATGGGCTAGTGGAGGCCCATACAAGAAAACAGCAATTACGACGGTCCAGCACGAGCTGGACACGGAAGCGGAAGCCCAGCAGGAATCGGTGGAATCGATCACAAAACAGAAGAAGCAATCGAGGTCTCTTGTCCCCAATCGCCACCGGAATTTCTAGACGCGTCCAAAATCCTCCCGGCGGCTGGGCTTCTCGCCGTCCGTCGCCGCCGGGCGACGCGTGCACGGCCGCTGTCGCCGAGGCTCTCCTCTCCTCTCCAGAAATCGTTTTCCTTCGCGGCTGGGCGATGGATTTGGGGACGGAGAATCGCCTTGCGGCGTTGCTCCTCGAGGAGGCCCGGAGGCTGCGGATGCAGGTGGAGAAGGAAGGGGTGCACGCCTATCTGCAGAAACCTAATGTGAGGCACCGCCCCAACTCGCGGTTCCTTGCCGCCACCGTTCTTGGCGTTCATCAAGGTCGGTTGGTTGCTCCTTACTTTTTTGTTCGACGCTAATATGATTGATTCACTGGCCAACTAAGCATCCCCTTTTATCCATTTTGATGACAAGTATTTCCGGACGGAGGGAGTAGTTGTTGGTTATGCTCAAAGCCCAGCTAATATGATTGATTAATTAAAATTACTACGAAGTTACGAGTATAGTGCAAAATGACATGTCTTGTAGTAAAAAAAATGTTTTGTTTCTGCTAGCCCTCACATCCAAAAACGTTCATTTGAAAGAATCTACTTTGTTGAGAATTTTCCGGTAGAAATACAGTTTGGAACTTTCTTTTTGAAATATATTTTCTCTTTTTGTCTGCAGCAAATCGAGTTGTGGAAGTTAATGAGATGTGGCGTGCCAGGGAGAAGGAGCTGGAGCTGGAATTGAAGATGAAAACCAGAACCAATGGTCGAATTGACTCGAGATCCCAGAAACGGAAGAACGACTCAAGAGACCAGAGCCCTGTTTCTAAGACCCAGCGAGACAGACCGTATGGCGCATCATTTTCGTCAAGGGATTCACAAGGCAGTTCTTATTCGGACCGGGGGGATGGGCTAGGCGATGATGAAATCGAAGAGTTTCTTCGATCAAGGTCAGTTACGGTTTTGATCAACAACACACTGGGAGAAATGAAATATTGAGAAAAAAATAATCTGATATTAATTGAAGATGTGATCTTTCTATGATGTCATGTGTGTACTTTACATGTGACTAATCACAAAATCATAATCTTACAATGTTCTTGTTTTAATAAGAAATGTAGTTAGCCTATACATTTGTATTTGCACATGCATAGGCCATCTATCTGTTCCAATTTTCACTAGACACGCAGTTTCTTTGTTAGGGTGAAGCGCGGGCGAGGAGCCATTGGTTCTAGAATGGATGAGCCTGGCCCATACCTCAAGCCTCCATCCGGCGTGAAAGATAATTCAGTAAGTCCGGATGCACGAGTGAAAGAAGAACGGAAGCACCGAGTTTATGGTCCAGAGAAGCCACTATTTTTTAGATCTAAATACTCAGACGAGGAGCCATCCACCTCGAAGCACAAGCACATAAAAGAAGAAAAGAACAATAGTAGCAACCGAGAGAGAAAGGAGGAGAACAGGAGGTCCAAACATCACCACCGTGAACATAAAAGCCGAAGTAGGGAGTGATGGCTGATGATTAATCGGAATGTGGAGAAAAGTTTCACCCTTTGCCGCTAAGTAGTGACCTGTTGAAATTATTGTATCAAATAAAACATGTCTCTTTTGAAGTGAATAGAAGGTCTTTTCTCTCATTGGTTTTTGGCCCTAGACTTCTACTTGGTGATTTGCGTTAGTTATGTGTTTGCAATTATGATGTGTTTTCGAAGTAGACATGCTCTGTTATGTTCTTCATTGTTCCGTCTCTCCCTTCTAAACAATCTACCCTTCATTCTCATTTAATGACAATTGTAACCTAGATAGGCATACAGAATGGGATGCGTGGGCCATGTACAAAGGCACAAGCAGTAAAATTTACCGAACGAAGTGACAACCAGATAGTTATGTTTATTGAGACGATACAGTTTTTTTTTACATAACAGTTCATACTCATTGGCATCTCTTACTACGCCATGATCGTCCACCAGATGAAACTGAAGCCTACAAATGAAGATGCGGCGATCAAGCTCAGGGGATGCGTGGTTCCTCCGCTTGCCGTTGGCTTGGCAACTGCAGAAGAACAGAAGGGTAGGTTACTGGCAGTAGAAATTCAGTTAAGTTTCCTTTCAAAAAATGTAGAACGAAGGTCAGTTGAGTTTGAGATGGTTTCAGAAGAGAGGTTCAGGCTACCAATTAAAAGAACATCTCCGCCAGTCATTATGTTGGTTTCATGTGTACATTATTTCCCAGTGTTTTAAGGCAGTACTGATTTTTAAAGTTATTCTAGCGAGACTAGAAATTTGTAAGTTTCTCTACTTCTGATCATCCTAGACAGCACTAAAGATTGTTGTCTGAACTCAAATTACCTGTAGAAGCAGCAGTTCCCGTGGATGCTGAAGAAGCGGCTGTGCTACCTGCAGTTGCAGCATCTGCAAAGAGAGTTAAAATCAGCAGTGCTCAGCACGCTGTCGTACAAATCAATCTAATTATGGCATGATTGATCTTATCGGTTGTGATCAAATCAGATCATCATTGAAGAGATCTTGCGTGTGAAAACTTTCAGCAGAAGATACAATAATTATGGTTCTGGTTTGATGGAGATCCAAGTTTTGGCACCCATTTCTCTACCCTCAGCTCGTCAGGCAACCAGCAGATTACTTTTTTACATGTTGTTAACTAAAGTACCACTACAAAGTACAGATTGATGGTAAAGATGTTTAAGAGAGAGAGAGAGAGAGAGATGTGGCTAGCTCAGATCAGGTGCATGAAAGGACAAATTTTCCAGTAATGGACAATCCACCTTGATCTGATCCAAGTACTACTGTTTCTGACAAACAAATAATTAAGTTTCAGCTCAGCTTGGACGTACGTGCGTGCCGCACTAGGCGCTAAACGAAGCATCAATCTATCGATCCTGTCGGCAACGATGATGATGATGATTGACGAGAGCTCGGAAAGCGGGCGGGCTTACCGGAACCGGCGCCGGCGGTGTACTTGGCGCAGGTGGACGCGTCGGTGGTGACGCCGCAGCGCTTGGCGAGGAGCACCCCCTGCTCCGGCGCCACGCCGAACGCCTGCAGCGCGGCCTTGTTCATGAGGATGGCGCACATGCACGCCGCCTGCGTGGTCGCCGCCTCCTTGAGCGGGTCGCAGCACGACTCCGGCGGCGTGTCGGTGGTGTTCAGGTAGCCCGCGCACGTCACGAGCTTCGACGCGCACGACGGCACCGCGCCGCTGGCGTCCGCGGGCGTCGTCGTCCCCTGCGCCGACGACGGTGCGGCGGCCATGCAGCAGGCGACGGCCACGGCGATGGCGATGGCCACCGCCTGCGGCAGAAGGCGCGCGCTGACACCGCTCCGCATCCTGCGCACGAGAGCGAGGCTAGCTGCTGCGAGAGTGAACTAGTGTGAGTGCGAGCGAGCAAGGTGGTATGGTCCTACTCCTATATTCTTCAGCAGTTGAGTTTTTATTTTTATTTTTTGAGGGGCTTCAGTAGTTCAGCTGCTGCATGGATCTAGCCTAGTCTAGCATGTGTGCCTGCAGGGTGGTTGGTGCCTGGCTGGCGACGTGTACGTACGTGGGCTGGAATCTTCCTCGCTGTGCAAATTGCACGCCATGGCTGATCCAGTTCGCGAGAGGTGCTAGGCACGACAGGAGTCTTGTGGTATCTCTACTATTAAAACAGGATCAAACGCCGTGATGGTTCGACCCATTTCTCTAGCTCGCATGATTCCTCAGTGGAAAAAAGTATAGTCACGACCCACGCGCCACACTCCGTCTTCTTCGAACCCCCCTTGCTCCTGATCCGCCGTTTTCCTCATCCTCGTGACGCTCATTCCCCTTCTCATTCCCCTTCCCGCAATGAAATCGGGTGGCGCTGAACAAACGATCAAGTTGCCCGTGCTACCACAGACCCATTGTTGGCATGCGGTGGAGGTGTTCAAGGAGTCTGTCTCGAAGCTGCGGGTGGAGCAAGTTGACGTCTCCGCCTGCCGCTGCTCAACACCGATCTTGAGACAACCAAGTAAGGGTTCCCACTTGCCATCGAGGTGTTCCGCGACAGGGTCCAGGGCGTCAAGCCGCCAACTGCTTCCTCTTCGACTGGATAAGGGGCGCAACCAGTAAGCTCTTCCTCATCATCCTTCTCTCTTTTTTTTGCGGGAAGTCATAGGGATTTTATTCCAGGATAATAGATTTACAATCCTCAGCGACTAAATTACTGGCGCACGGAGGAGCTTGCCCCAGCCAGTATGCTGTGCTATCTTCACACCGTTCAAAGTTCGCTAAGCAATCTGCAAAAACCCTATTTTGATAACGAGAAATTTTTACAGGAACAAAAACCCTATCACTTAAGAGAAATTTAATCTCCTGGATCATATGGCCGAAAGCTGATCTATCCATGGATGCATCAGATATAGCTTTAAGTACCGAGGCACAGTCTGACTGTATGATGATCATTGAATTGGAGTGCTCCACTGTCAGTTTAATTCCTTCTAATATAGCATGTAGCTCCGCTTCAAAGGCATCGTTGCAATGGAATAACTTGCGGTACACAGCAAAGGTTACATCACCGCCTGCGTTCCTCAAGATCATACCCGATCCAGCCGAGCCATCTGTAACGTTAAAAGAGCCGTCCACTGACAGCGCCACCGCATCTATCACAGGGGGTGGCCAAGGCTCACGATGCATGGGATTTATATTGCCCACCCCCTCGACGAAAGTTTCAGTGAACATCGGAGATTTGCCCTTGATTATCTCCTCCACCC